TTTCTTGTCCTAGTGCATTAGCTAAGAAATCTATGATGCTGAAAAGAAATGGTGGAAAGAGGAAAATTTGTTTTGTTCTTAACTTTGTGGGAAAGACTGTAGTTTCTTAGCATAAGGTGTGATGTCAACTGCAGAGGTTTTTTAGAAGTATTATTTATCAAATTGAGTAAGTTCCCCTCTCTTCCTGGTTTCCTTAGGGTTTTTATTAATAGTGATTATTGGATTTTCTCAAATGCTTTTTCTGCATGTTTATTTTTAACCTGTTAATGTAAAGATTAATTGATTTTTTAAATGTTGAACCAGCTTTGTGGCCTAGGAGATCCTATTTGGTCATGTTGCATACTTATTTTTATACATTGTGGAATCCTATGTTTGCTTGAGAACTTTTGCATCTATATTCATGAGAGATATTAATCTCTAGTTTTCTTTTCTTCTAACTTATTTTTTAGTTTTGGTATTGTAATAACACTGTCCTCATATTATGAGTTAGATAGGATTCTGTCTGCATCTACTTCCTGGAAGAGATTGTAGAGTTTTGGCATTATTTCTTTCATAAATGTTTAGTATATTATGTATATTGTTTACTCTTCATGTATTTTGCGATTTTCATGCTTATTTTCTGTTATTGATCTCCACTTTAATTTTTGTATGGTCTGAAAGCAAAATCAGATGTTTTTCATTCTTTCAAATTTGTGTTTTTATGGTCCAGAAGTGATCTATCTTGGTGAACATTCCATGTGCACTTGAGAATTTATTGTGATTGCTGGATAAAGCTGTTGACACATGTGCAGTACATTAATGTGATTGATAATATTTCTTAGTTCAACTCTTTCCTGAATGATTTTCTGCCGGCAGGATATCTTAATTTCTGATAGAGTCTTGTTGAACTGTTCAATGTTAATAATAAATCTAGCGATTTTTCTCTGCATTTCTACCACTTTTTGCTTCAGACATCTTGACACTCTGATTTTTAGTATTATATATGCTCTTGAAGAATTGACTCACTTACGGTTATAGAGTGTCCTTCTTTGTTACTGATACATTTCCTTTCTTTAAAGTGTACATCATCTCAAACTGCTATAGCTTCTACTGCTTTATCATAATAATTATGAAGCTATATTATAATAATATAATGTTTATTAGTAGTAGTACATTATATTTCTCTTCATTCATTTACATTTAATTATATGTCCCTCTATATTTAAAGTGAGATTTTATAGAAAACATATACTTCAGTGTATACAATATATATTTTGATTAACTCTAAAAACTCTTATCTTTTAACTGGTGCATTTAGTCTGGGTACAGTGGCTCATGCCTTCTAATCCCAGCATTTCGGGAGGCTGAGACCATAGGATCATTGAGGCCAGGAGTTAACAAGCACCCTACAAAATAATAATAATAAAAAAACCTGGCCACGGTGGCTTGTGCTTGTGTCCCAGCTACTAGAAAGGCTGAGGCAGGAGGATCCCTTGAGTCCAGGAGTTTGAGATTGCCAGTGAGCACTCCAGCACTCCAGCCTGGGCAATGAAGTGAAATCCTGTTTCTAAAAAATAGATTTAATAAAACTCCCCAAAATGAGTAAATCTAGACCACTGACAATCAAAGAGATTACTGATATATCTGGATTATCTTCTACCATATTCTATATTGCTTTTAACTTGCTGCCCTTGTTCTTTGCTTCTATTTTTGTCTTCTACATTTTTTCTGCTTTTTGTGATTTTAATTGAGAATTTCATGTTTTGTTTTTCTTCTTTCTTGGCATATTAGATGTACTTCATTTACTTTTTTAGTATTTTTCTTTACGTTTGCAATATATATTTACAAGTAATTCATGTATACTTTCAAATACAGTGTTTTTTCATAGGTAGTCTTAGTGCCTTATAATAGGAAAATAATCCTAATTCCTCCCTCCTTTTCCTTGTAACATGGCCGTTATTCTTTTCACTTATATATACACACATGTAAGCATATATAATGGAATATAGAGTTGCTATTATTTTTAATAAATTGTTATATGTTAGATTAATGGAGAATAAAGAAAATAAGAGTTTTTATTTTACATTCACTTGTTTCTTTTGGAGCTTTCTTTCTTTATATAGATCTGAATATCTAAATCATATTATTTGTCTTCTTCTCTAAAGATCTTCTTTTAACACGTCTTCCAAAGCAGATCTAGTAGCAAAAAATTTTATCATTGTTTGTTTACAAAAGTTTTTATTTCTTCTTCACAATTGGTGGGCAGTTTTACAGGGTAAAGAACTCTAGGTTGATTTTTTTTCTGTTAACATTAAAATGTCAGTCTACTCTCTTCTCGCCTGCAAAATTTCTAAGGAGAATTTGAATATAATTCTTATTTTTGTTACTTCACAGGTAAAATAGTTCTTATTTTTGTTTGTCCCCTCTGGATTATTTTGGGATATTTTCTTAATTTTTATGTAATTGATAACAATATGCTTAAGTACAAAGTTTTTGGGGGTTTTTGTTGTTGTTTTTTATTAATCACAGTTGATGTTTTCTGAACTTCTTGATTTGGTGTCTGGCATTAATTTGGAAAAATTCACAGTTAATATGCTTTCATTACTTCTATCCATCTTTCTTCTCTTTCTGGTATAGGTACTAAATATACATTATACTTTTTCTGATTGCCTCACAGTCCTTGGATATTCTGTTCTTTTTTTTGTCAGTCTTTCAGAAAAGATTATTTAACTTTTTGGTTTACAATATGAATGACTTCTATTTCTTTTGCTTACCTATTTTTTTCTGACTAGAACTTTCTGTATTACGTTGAATAGAGTGGCTAAAGCAGGTATCTGTCTGTGTCTTTTTCTCTGATGTTAGAGGAATGGCTTTTAGTTTTCCACTGAGTATAATATTTGCTGTGGATTATATATATAAATATATAGAGAGAGAGCCAAATTTATATATCTTTTATTGTGTCTAGGTTTTTTTAAGTTTTATTTTTTAAGTGTTTTGATCATGAAAGCATGCTATATTTTGTCAAGTGGTTTTCTACACAATTTCAGATAATTACGAGTTTCTTTTTTTTCTTTTATTCTGTTAATGTGGTGAAATACATTGATTATTTGCTGTATGTTAAATCATTATTGGGTTCAAAAAAATAAATGCTACTTGATAGTGCTAGGTAATACTTTTGATAAGCTGCTAAATTTTGTTTCCTAATTTTTTTGAGAATGTTTACAAAGATATTCATAAGAGTTATTGATCTTCAGTATTTTCTTCTTATGGTGTCTGTTTTGACCTTGGTTGTTGTAGTGTTGATGGCCTCATAGAATACGATAAGAAGCATTCTGTCCTCTTTAACTTTTTGGAAACATTAGAGAAGGATAGGTGCTAGTTATTCTTCAAATGTGTGGCAGAATTTATCTGTTATGCCACCAAATCCAAGACTTTTCTTTGTTAGGAGACTTTTTATTACTGAAACTATCTTATTACTAATTATGTCCATTCATATTTGCTATTTCCTCATTAATTATTTTTGGTAAGTTTTGTGTTTCTAGGAAATCGTTGGTTTCATCTAGATTATCTAATTTTTGTCATATAATTGTTCATAGTACACTTTCATAATTATTTTATTTCTGTAGAAACAGTAGTAATGTCCCCACTTTTATTTCTGATTTTAGCAATTTGAGTATTCTCTCATATTCTCATTTAGCTAAGGATTTGTCAACTTTGTTAATCTTGTCAAAAAATCAGACCTTAGCTGGCATGATGGTTTTATGACCTGCAGTCAAACCAGGTAGGTCAGATTATTCTTTTATGACCATTTTTTACATAGCAGTGCAAAGGGAAAGTAATCTTTGTAGGTTTTATAGCCAGCTTTGGGGAAAAAAATGTTCTGGTTTCTATGACCTGCATTAGGGAAAGGGATTCTAGTTTCTATGGCTAGCCTTGGGAGAGAATGTGACTGAGAGACAGGAGGGCAGAGGAATGTCAGAGAAAAATTCTTGCTTTTGAGGCTGCTTCTGAGGCCCTCATTTTAGGGTATTTTTTTGTTTTCTGAGTCCCAACACTATCTTTTGATTGGGAATTCTAATCCATTTGCATTTGAATATTTACTGACAAGAAGGGACTTACTTGTATCATTTTATTCTTTATTTTCTATATACATTAAAGGTCTTTTGCCCTTTTTCTGATTATTTTTCTACTGAAATATTTAAATTACTTTCTCATTTACCTTTGGTGTATATTCTATAGTTATTTTCCTTGTGGTTACTATGGAGATTACATTTAGCATTCTAAAGTTTTAACACTGATTTTGAATTTGTAGCAGTTTAACTTCAGAAACATACAAAATCTCTCTTCCTTTATTGGTTCTCTCCTCACCCCTTTTGGCTGTTGATGTCAAAATTACATTTTTATACATTGTATGCTCCAAAATTATAATTGATTTGAAATCATTAGTCTTTTAAACTATGTGTAAATAAAATTTGAAGTCCAAAATCAAAATTAAAATAATGTTAGCTTTTAGGCTAATAATTGTTGCTTTCTAACGTGTTAATTTCTTAAGATATGTAGCAAATAAGGTGTACATTTTGAAATCTTTGTTAGAATAAAACTAGTTTTTATAATTGCCCATATATAGGCCCTACTGGGGTGCATCCCTTGTCATGCAGCTTTAAGTTGTTGTGTAGTGTCCTTTCATTTCACCCTGCAGGAATTCACTGACCATTTCTTGGCGAACAATTCTAGTAGTCACAAACACTCAAAATTTTAACTACAAATATCATAGTTTCTTCCTCACTTTTTTTGGAAAGTTTTGCCAGATATAAAATCCTAGTTTGAAAGTTTCTTTGGGATTTGAAATATATCTGCACATTACCTTCTTGTCTGCCAAGTTTCTGATGGGAAATTTACTCATAAACTTATCAGGAACACTTGTATGTGATAAGTTGCTTTCCTCTTGCTGCTTTCAAAATGATCTCTGTCTTTGGATTTTCTGCTGGTGTGTTTTTTTTTTTTTTTTTTTTTTTTTTTAAAAACATCACTTTTATTAACAATTAAGGGCCATAATGGACAGGTCCACAGAACAAAAATAAAACGATTCTAAGACAACGGAGTACAAAATACAGCATACAAGTTAATACTCTTCACCCTCATCCTCTCCCTCAGCACTATCTGCTCCAACCTCCTCATAATCCTTCTCAAGGGCAGCCATGTCCTCACGGGCCTCTGAAAACTCTCCTTCCTCCATCCCCTCACCCACGTACCAGTGAACAAAGGCACGCTTGGCATACATCAGGTCAAACTTGTGGTCCAGGTGAGCCCAGGCCTCGGCAACAGCTGTGGTGTTGCTCAGCATGCACACAGCTCTCTGTACCTTGGCCAGGTCTCCACCAGGCACCACAGTGGGAGGCTGGTAGTTGATGCCAACCTTGAAGCCAGTGGGGCACCAATCCACAAACTGGATGGTACGCTTGGTCTTGATGGTGGCGATGGCAGCATTGACATCTTTGGGAACCACATCACCACAGTACAACAGGCAGCAAGCCATGTATTTACCATGGCGAGGATCACATTTCACCATCTGGTTGGCTGGCTCAAAGCAAGCATTGGTGATCTCTGCTACAGTAAGCTGTTCATGGTAGGCTTTCTCAGCAGAGATGACAGGGGCATATGTGGCCAGAGGGAAGTTTGATTATAATGTATCTTTGCACGGATCTCTTTTAACTTCATGATATTTGGAGTTTCTTCAGCTTTTCGGAAGTATATATGCCTGTTTTCATCAAATTTGTAAAGGTTTTCACCATTATTTCTTTACATTTTCTCTTTTCTCTTTTTCTGTTCTTCTAGGATTCCCACAATGAGTATGTTTGCCTACTTGATGGTGTCCCACAGGTCTTTTTGACTCTGTTTCTATTCAATCATTTTTCCTTCTGCTCTTCAGACATTGATTTTTCTTATACTATCTTCAATTTTGTGGATTCTTGCTTCTGAAAGTTCGTATCTGCCATTAAATCCCTGCAATGCATTTTTTTTTCAGTTGCTGTACTTTTCAGCTCCAGGTTTTTTTTTTATTGGTTTGTTTTCTTGTTAATTGTTGTATGCTGTCTCTGTGCCTGAGTTGCAAACTTCCCATCTTCTAAGGTTTTTGTTTTCGTGCCTGTGTCTTTCCCTGGGCATGCAGATACATACTCTAATGTTCCCTATATATAGCATTCCTTTTGAATGCCCTGTTTCTTACACTCTTGCTGCCCAAACAGAAAAAAATCTAATGAGGGAAAATAAAGTATGCTAGACCTTTAAATTCCCTCGAAGTCACTTGTAAAAAATAGAGGAAGGTGAAGTAAGAATGACTGCCCACTTTTTGTTCGTGTCTCTAATCAGAATCAGCAATCAGTTATCACAGCACAGATCACTAATATTTGAAGGGCAAAGTTCTTTTTGCCCTATCTGTCCTCCACAAGCTATGTTCAGGTTGCTCTAGAAACAAACTCACAACTTCCTGCTACAAGGCTGGACATGGAGCATCAGTGCCTTCTGCTGTGCTAAGATTAAAATTGATGGAAATTAACAATTAGCCTTCCAAGCCTTCCCCTGAAAGTTATAAGAACTCAGTAGATTCCATAATTCCAAAGTGGATACATCAGACAAACTCTATTTGTGCAGTTTTTGTCTAGACAAGGAGACAGATTTCTGTTGCTCCTATTCTTTATTATTTCCAGCATTCTTCTTAACTAGGCTTTGAAGGTAAGCTGTGCTTTTACCTTGTCACGCTGTGCTTTATTCTTTTCTGCAATATGGGAAGGTGCAGGGCAGAGACTTATGTTATTTCAGTTAGCCTCTAGATTAAGGTATTATTTACATGTCCTTTTGGCATATGTCTTACTCCATAATACTGATGCAGGCTTTTTTGTTCCTTAGTTCACCTAAAATCCATGTTCTTGTCTCATGACCAGGAAAAATTAGGCATGTGGACACACTGAAGGCTGAGGAGGGAGGATTTATTAGGCAAAAATAAATCTCTCCGAAAAATAGAGGTGGGTTCTACCAACAGGCTCCCACCTCACTGATTGGATACCAGGCCACCACACATGAACTGAAGAGGCCAGGCTCCTCCCACTTCATAAGGTGTGATATCCTGGTGGCCCCACCCATTCCCCCAGTGCATGTGGGCCTCCAGTCTGCAGCGAGCATGCCCCTGCAAGACTTTTTGCAGCTTCCCTTATCTGGAAAAAAAAAAAAGTGGTGTAAACACTTGTCAGGCAGGTTAGAGATTTTCCAGGAACCCTTCTTTATCTACTTAGGCATTGGTGTGCCTTCTGCATCTATCAATACTATAAAAATAAAATTTAATAATTTATAGAAATATCAGTCTTAAAATAATCCTCCAAAAACTTTTTTTGTTACTGTTGAGACAGTGCCTCGAGTGCTGCGGTGCAATCTTAGCACACTGCAACCTCCACCTCCCAGGTTCAAGTGATTCTCTTGTCTCAGCTTTTCCCAAGTAGCTAGGATTACAATCATGTACCACCACACCCAGATAATTTTTGTATTTTTACCAGAGATGGGGTTTCGCCTTGTTGGCTGACTGCTTTTGAACTCTTGGCCTCATGCTTCAGCAAACTTCAGCACCCCAAAGTGCTGTGATTACAGGCAGGAGCCACCATACCCGGCAAAAACCTTTAATATAACTATATTACTAACTAGATTACAGTCAGAAAATACCAAATAGCAGACTGCTTATTCAGATTAAGCAACAGGCAAGTTATTGTTAAAATGAAATTTGATTTGGATTGCTTTTTTCTACATACTTAACACTTGCTTCACACAGTTAAAGGTTTTAGTCAATTGAAATAAACAGATGAGTAAAATTATAGAAATGCAATTAACATTAGAAATCACCCCGGTTAGGCTTCTCGATTTGTCAATGAAAAACAAATGAGGACAGGTGTTAAAATACTTCTATAGTGTGTGCACACATGCACAGAGACACACACTGTAAAGGTATATGGTTATTTCCTAGAAATTCTGTCTCTGGCATCTATTCCAGAGGTCTTTTTTATCACACACCATTAATTATAGTTTTAGATAATAACTGGAAAATTACGTGTGTCAAATACAGGGCTTGGTTTAAATAGAAAAAAAGAGAAATAACATCAAACATAGAAGAAAATAAAAATCTGTCACTAACATACATAAAAACATCTGATTATTTTGAGTAGGTAGCCTACCATATGGCAGACTCTTAATAAATGTTTAATCATAGTAACAATTGCAATAATAGGAGCAACAAATAACAATAATTAAAGCAATCTACCACTGACTGATTTATCTTTCCTAAAATTAGAATAAATGTGAGCCCACTACCAGAAGGGCTGTTGAAGGTTGTGATAAAACATTGAAATTTCTGAAAGACACATTCTGGTAAATAGTTATTAAAATATTTTTATTATATGTTGTTACTGTTATATATGTGTGTATGTATATATACATACATACAATATATATATACACACACACATATATACAAACACACACATACACACACACACACTCTCTTATTTTATTTGTAAAAAAACTCCTATAGAATGACAAATATTTATACCACTTTGTTTTTGGTTTTATCTTGTTTTGTTTGTTTTTATTTTTCTCATATGTTCTTCATGGGGTGAATGGATTTAACACTGCTGAAACAATTATGACGGGTGTTCAAGTTGGAGCCAATTTGGAGGTAGGTATAGAGCTTAATACAGTACAACTGGCAGAAGAAAATTAATCTCACCAGGCAAATTAGACTACCATAACTCTGAAATGAAACGGAACCTAGAAAACTAAAGCCATAGAAAAGCAGGGATGTGGGGTTGGTGGGGTGGGTTAGGTGCAGTGGGAGGAATGTAGATTCTTGGATGCTGCCAAATGTTGAAAAAATGAGTACTTTAAGTATTATAGAGATTCTATCCTTAACGTTTTTACTAACATTGTTTTTCTCACATGCATTAATCTATTTAACACTCTATCCTCCTATTAATCTGTCTCATTTTTTAAATGTCCAAAACAACTTGCATACATCAGTATACTTCTTCTTAAACACTGAGCTGCATGCCTCTTTTGAAAGATCAGGTTCACTTTTCAGTAGTCAAATATTTTCTCAATTAAATTTTTAATAGTTATTGGACTATTTTTTGTTCTGATATTATAGGTAGATGTGGGGTAAAGTACTTGGCTGCAGGAAATCATATTTTTCTTGAAGAATTTAATAGGCACATTTCAAGATTAAATTTTAGTTACAGTTAACTTGACAACCTAACAATTAACGATTTTCATGGCCACGTGTGGTGGCTCATGTCTGTAATCCCAGCACTTTAGGAGGCTGAGGTTGGCAGATCACTTGAGAGCAGGAATTTGAAAACACGCTGGGAAACATGGCAAAACCCATCTCTACCAAAAATACAAAGAGCCCAGTGGGTGCTGAGCACCTGTAGACTCAGCTACCTAGGAGGCTGGAGTGGGAAGATTACTTGGGTCCAGAAGGTCAAGGCTTCACTGAGCCATGGTCCAGCCACTGCGCTCCAGCCCTGGTGACAGAGTGAGATCTCCTGTCACACAAACAAAAAAGAAAAAAATCCCAGATATTTATGTTACTATAATGTAAATAAGAATTACTTTATTAACACCAACTATAACATATGAATAGTTCCACCAATCTATTGAATTTTCTTAATATTTTATAATTTACTTATTTCCTCAAAATCTCTGTGAATAAAATTTGGCAGAAATCAATTAAATTTTACTTATGTGACAAATAAGGCAGAGAAAGAAAATATAGAGTTTGTAGTTCAGTGGTTGGAGAATTTCAGACTTTGGACTAGAACCTAAAATCTGCATCATGGAAGCCCAGAAATAATTCACTTCATGTAAGGTAATGTGCGTGTCCATAAACAATGTATAGTATATAAAAGCACATAGCCTAACAACGGTCTAACAAATAAAGAAATGCTCTATAGTTGTATAAACCAGATAATTTTCAGGATAAGCTTAGTTTCAAAACATTAAACAAAACTTTTCTTACAGCATTATGCACATTCTATTTTGTATATTTATAATTTGAATACAAGTTGTATTTTCCTTATTGGACTATACATTCCCTGAAAGTCAGGGAAGTAAAAGGAACTAATTGTTGTTGGTCACTTGGTTTTAATAGATGTTTAGTATAGATTACGCTAATTTCAACTTACTTGAAACAGTTGCTATTATGTTCTTTTTCAAGTAAGAAGTCTGTTGGTCAGAGCTTAAATAACACAGTCAAAATTATATTTGTAGGAGGTGGAGCCAAATGGCCAAATAGAAGACCCCACACTGATCATCCCCACTGAAAGGGCACCAATTTAACAACCATCTACACAGAAAAAGCACCTTCATAAGAACCAAAAATCAGGTGAGCACTCACACTACCTGGTTTTAACTTAATATTGCTAAAAGATGCACTGAGGAGTGTAGAAGACAGTCTTGAATCACCAATACCATCCCTCTCCTATCCCCTGAAGCAGCCACGTGATATAGGAAAAAAACCTCTGCTTGGCAGATGGAGAGGACAGGGATTGTGAGATGTTGCACTGAATTGAGTGCTCCCCTGTCACAGCAGAAAGCAAAAGCAGGCTGACCTCAGCTGATGCCCACCCAAAAAGG